GTAATAGCACGCAGACTTGCTATATCCCAATCCTGTGTCGTGGCTACGTTGCAGAGGTATCACGGAATGGGGAATTTAGCTGACCGACCCCGCAGCGGTCGCCCAACTGTTTTGACAGCTGCCCAAAAGCGCTATATTAGATTGCTGGCAGCCCGTGATCCAACAATCAACGCCACTAAAATAAAAGCAGAAGTCAGGGCCGCCTCTGGGCTTGAAGTTAGCACGCAGACCGTTCGCAATTGCTTGCACCAGGCTGGATTACGAGCACGGAGGTCTTGGCGAGCTCCGCTCAATTCCCGGCAACGTCAACAACGAAGATTGCAGTGGGCTAGACTTCGGCAAAATGAAGACGGTGAGGACGAAAACATTTGGCAAAACTGTCTCTTCGTTGACGAATCCCGAATCAGCACTCATCCAGATAACCGACGTGTCCGTGTCTGGAGAAGACCAGGCGACCGTGAAAGACAAAGAACTGCCACTGGAACAGTTCAGCAAGGCGGAAAATCGGTGTCCTTTTGGGGTGGCATTATGATTGGAGCTAGAACGCCTTTGATCCCGTCTCGGGGCTTCATGACAGCAGACATGTACAAAGCAGTTCCTATTGATGATATCGTCAGACCATTCCGAGTAAACCATGGGCACCAATTTGTACTGGTCGATGATAATGCGCCCGCACATCGAGCTCAACGAGTCAATGCTGCTCTTCAAGAATACGATATCACACGATTAGACTGGACTGCCGGCTCGCCCGACTTAAACCCAATAGAGCACGCGTGGGATGCTCTTAAACGAGCAGTATGGAACCGTGAGCCACGTCCCCAGACAGTTCCAGAGCTCAGGGAAGCGCTATTGAAGAATGGGATAGGTTACCCCAGGAAATGCTGGATAACTTGATCCTCATCATGCCCAGGAGGATCTTCGCATGTATTCGAGCCAGGGGAGGAGTTATTTTATATTGAATTCACACCTTTTAATAATAAATAGTTGTTTAAGTGTAATTAAACAGTCTTTTTCTTTCTATGAAATTTCTATCACTATTACATTATGATTAATGGCTCAATTTTTTAAAATAAATAATAAAAAATAGTTTTATATTTTAATTTCAAACAGGGTATTCCTATTTAAAGAAAGCATACAACATAGATTTTTTCTTGATAAAGTTAAATTTAAAGAATTATAGGAGCTTATGCTATTGATCGCAAACTTTTTTTGATGTGTGTATATCTCAAGAGTGAGGGGTGCAGTGGCAGTGACCATTGACCCCTGAGACTGTTGCAATTTAAAACTCTCGAGTTGCACTACAACTGTTATGGACAGGCGTGTCGCTTACCAGCAGGCGCACGACTTATTCGTCCCGTCACTTGGTATTATAAAAAAAATAAAATACTCTTTATTTAAACCGTGGTTAACGGTGTTAGTTACTCATTAAGTAACTATTAGTTATAGTGTGAATCACAATTAGATATCAAAAGTGTAAACATAGTGATTAACCAAACAAAATATACATTTCAAATGGTAGTTTCCTATTTTGAACGATAATAAACGTTTAGAATTCGTTTCCAGATTTTACAGTATGTATTTTTACTTAATTTTGTTCAATACAATAATGTCGTAAATAATGTTATGACACTGGTAACACAATGAGGATCAAAAACATTTTTTGTTCCGCTATTTTGTGGCGTTCTGGATGTGATTATTGCTTACTTTCTCGAATTAGAATAGAATAGAATAGAATAGAATAGACATTTATTGCGACGCCACAACACATGATACAAAAAAAAATGAATTATAACACAGTACGATGAACATTAAAATTAAAAATAATAACAGTAATAATAATTAATAAACAAAATAGACATGCGTAAAACAAACAAATGAAAAAAGAAAACATTAAAATTATCAAAACAAACAAAAAAGGAAAAAAAAAAGCAAAATAACAACAAATTGTTCAGTCATTTGTGCAGTCGTGGCGTACGCAAAAGGACTACATTCAGCTTTTACCACAGCCAGAATTGACTGTGGCGCTGGTTTTCAATGAGCCCTGAATTCGAATGTTTTGTTGTCTTCGCGCGTTTGTTAAAGTTTTTGTTCATTGATAATATTTTGTAATAGATAATTGAGAAAATGAGAACCTTCATCTTTTCCAACTCCATTAAAAATAGAAGGAATGGCACACCTACATTCACCTTTTGACAATGGCATTACATAACATTTCTTTGCTTACATTTTGGGCGTCTAATTATGATCATGCTATTAGTTGTTTATCCAATTTTCTCGAATGATTTATAAAATAAATTGAGTTAGTCTTTACTGTATTATGTAGGTATTTATAACACTTGTGTTTTAGATACTTGCTTTAGGATGAGCATTGTATGTGCTGTTGTCTAATTTTTATATTATTTTCAACATTTTTTATATTTGCAAATAATAAAAATAACTGATGTCAATAGACAGGGATACTGAACCTTTTTTTTTATAACACCAATTGACGGGACGAACAAGTCGTGCGCCTGGTGGTAAGTGGCACGCCTGTCCATAACAGTTGCAGTGCCACTCAGAGCTTTAAATCGCAAAGATCTGAGGGGCACTGCCACTGCGCCCTTGACATACGTTGAATAGGCCCATGTGCCTGTAATTTCACTAGCACCCCTACCCTTCGAAACCGGAACACAGTAATGCTGACACTACTGCATGGCGGCAGAAATAGGTAAGGTGGCAGTACTTCCCTGGACGAATTCTTTCACAAGAAGGTCTACTGCTACTAAAAATATTAGACAACATTACATACCTTGCTCTCATCCCACAGTAAGTAGCTAAGGCACTTTTGTTATGGGTATTGGAAACAACGACGGTACCACAAAGACCCTGACCCGAGAAATATAGAACCGAAGAAGACCCGGCCGGGTCAGTGTAGAAAAAAAGTAGTTTCTACACTGACCCGGCCGGGGATCGAACCCGGGACTTCCGCGATGGCGACAGCATGAAAACCGGTGTGCAAGCCAAAGTCAAAGTCAAAGATTAATTATTCCATAGGTAAAATAAATTTACCTTTGAAAACGTCACATTTAAGCTATTGCTCGTTCACTATGCTGACCTCCCTGAGAAGAACGAGAAAGAAACTCTAGGGATTGCTCTTTTCAAATAAACTTAAATGCTATGGAATACATTTTGAATCAAATTTGTGTGGATGGAGCCATGTCGTCTTTCCATACATCTTTATCTAACACGTACTCTTCAATTTTGTAATATTACTTTTCAATCAAAATATTTCTAATGTAGTTTTTAAACTTAGGAAATGATAATCTTAATATATTCTCCGGAATCTTATTGTAAAAACGTATACAGTTCCCCATAAGAGTCTTTTACCTTGGTTAAACGAAATCGAGGTACCATTAGTTTGGACTTAGCTCTAAGGTTAATATTATGGATATCTTGTTTCTTATTGAAATTATGTATATTTTTACGGGCATATAAAATATTTGAGTAAATGTACTGTGATGCCACAGTCATGATACCAGTCTCCTTAAACTTTTCTCTGAGAGATACCCGAGAGCCTAGACGGTACACAGGACGAATCGCTCGTTTTTGCAATACAAATATGGTTTGAATATATGCCGCTTTACCCCACATGAGAATCCCGTAGGACATTATGCTATGGAAGTAACTAAAGTAAACTAGTCTAGCAGTACTAACATCGGTAAGCTCACGTATTCTGCGGGCTGCGTATGCAGCGGAGCTTAATCTGCTGTGGAAACCATTGAAGTTTACTATCTAAGGTCACTCCCAAGAAGACTGCTTTATTAACAAGGTCTAACTTTTCTCCGTTTATTTCTTGGACTAGTCGTTTTTACGTTAGGTAATTCAAATTTAACACATTTTGTCTTCTTGGCATAAAGCAATAAATTGTTAGCATTAAACCAATAAACTACCTTAGAGAGGGTATCATTAATATGGTCATAGTGAATGTCATGTCTGTCTGTTTTCCACGGCACTCGACCACAGTGCCACTCAGAGCTTCAAAGATCTTAGAGGCACTGCCACTGCGCCCGTCACTCTGAGACATAAGTTAACAAGTCCCATGTGCCTGTAATTTCACCAACACCCTTCTTCTTCCAAATCTTTAAACCGCAGTAACGTGACTACTACTATCGTGACTAACTTTAAAAGCAGTAAAATGAGCATTACCGCATTCCGGTAATGCTCACGTTACTGCTTAGCGGTAGAAATAGGTAAGGTGGCAGTATTTCCTTAGACGAACCTTTCACAAGCTCTATTGCTAGTGAACTGCTAGCTACGCTCTTGATAAACCTTTTTCGTGTCAGTACCTACATACATGCACGTTTCTTGTAGGTATTTTTGGCTGGCCTTTTTAAAACACATCTCAATCTGGTCAAACAAAACACGTACTTCGAGATCTACTCCTCTCCACGTTTTGCGTTGAATAGGGCTGTATTAAATTTGATAGTGCTTTGTAGCTCTACGTACCGTGAAATAGCGTTTTGTGGAACTGTACAGCGTTTAATAACGTTAAATAGCATTTTAAAGCGCTGTGTAACCTTAAATAGCTTTATGTAACATTACGTAGCGTTAAATAAGGTTTTGTAGCGTTAAATAGCATTTTGTAGCTCTGTGTAACCTTAAATAGCATTATGTAACATTAAGTAGCGTTAAATAACGTTTTGTAGCGTTAAATAGCATTTTGTAGCACTATGTAACGTTCAATAGCTCTTTGTAGAATCACGTACCGTTGAATATCGTTTTGTAGCGCTAGGTAGCGTAAATAGTGTTTTATAGTTCTGTATTGCATTAAATAGCATTTTGTAGCGCTATGTAACCTTAAATAGCTTTTTGTAAGTTTCTTTAAAAGGCGTATTAAATAGTTTTAAAATTTATTGTCAATAAGTGTTTTACGTCGTCGCCACTTAAAGCATATAAAAATGGCGGACAGTAGCTCCACCTGGCTGTAAAAGATTTTAGTTTTAATTTCATTTCAATTTTAGGCTGTGATGGCACTGACCGCGCCGCTAGCGTTCCCTATAAGCAAACTCCTCGACTACTTCCTGGGCGAGGAAATCGGCAGCGTCTATAACAGAGAGAGATTGAAAGAACTCGTAAAGGTAAGTCTTCATTATATAAATTTTTTTTTCCAGATTCCCGGATGAAAAACACCTAAGTTGCGTCTCGCGTCGCTGTCCATACATGTAAATAAATAAATAGTGTTACTTTAATTACAAATAACTACATCTATAGTCAGGGCTGGTAGCTGTAAAGTTACCTAACTGATGGCGCTACGGCTAAAAAGTCATTGAAAACCAAATACAAATATCATAACATATTGATGAAAAATATATTTATTCTAATATATTGAAGTCAAAAAACGAAATCGAAAAATATAAAGTATTCAACATACAGCAAACTCCAAACTCGCCCTAACGCGCGTTGATCGCTTGCAATTGTGGCAATTACACAAGTAAACCGTTCACACTACGGTCATATTCATTATTTCAACTTCTTATCTGGCTCCATGTGTGTAGACGGTCGATTTGTCAGTGTTTGCATGTCTATACGTCAAATATTTTTCCAAGTACACCAAACACCCAATGGCGACTACAGGTAGCTACGTGAAGTGGCCCCATGAAGTCTAATTATATTGTATGGGTCATGTTACCTGAATTAAACAAAAACAAATAATAAAAAGGCTCTACTTCCCATTATTGTATTATATGATTATATAAAAATGTTACCTTCGTCTTGATTTAAGAAAATACTATTTGAATTGCTTGTGACAAATTGTTTTTTTATAATGTAATTAATGAGTTGTTGACATTTAAATTTTGAAGCCTGCGACCCTCTACATATTTAGTACTTTGACATGCGGCCATCTTTTTTATTAAATCCTATTTTTTCTTTAATTATATTATTCAATTAAAAAAAATAAAATTATGTAATGTAATATGAATTTAAGAATAAATGCGAACGAAGTATATTCGTTATTTGTTGTAATGTTTGTATGTATGTTTGTTATTAATATTTGTATGCCAGTCCTGGCGCAACACGCTGAACTATAAGTGTAATCTTAAATATGTAAACTGTATTTACCGTGTATGCTTACAAATAAATATATCTCTATCTATTGCCCACGTCTAACCGCAATTTCACTTTTTAGGTAACAACAGATGTAAACGATCTAGATAAAGACGAAGTTAATATAATATCAGGAGCACTAGAGCTGCGCAAGAAGACTGTGTCCGACGTGATGACAAAATTGGAGGACGTGTTCATGTTGCCCATCACTAGTGTACTCGATTTCGAGACTATGTCCGAGATTGTGAGGTCTGGTGAGTAAATGTCTTGGCTGTACACTTTTACAAATAATTTCTATCATTTTTCACCTGATGACAATTATCGAGGACCTGTTTATTGTGTACTGTTTACTGTAAAAAAAAATGGATTGTATGTACACATTTAGCAGGCTTATTTCACATCGCATTTCCTTCATATTCACACAGTGGCTTTTACCTGTTCTTGAAGTAATGAGTCCAAATTAACACCCTTTTTAAGAATATTTAAAATAAATAGAACGTTTTGCCATCTCCCGAATAATAACTCTTTAGAGATACGAGTTTGAGAAAGCGAGGCGACGATATTTCACCTGATGATAAAAATGGAGGACGTGTTCATTATTATGTCCATCAATGTGTACTCGATTTCGAGATTATGTCCGAGATTGTGAGGTCTGGTGAGTACACGTCTTTTGCTGTACGCCTTTACAAATAGGTCCGACCATGTTTCATTCGATGACTAAAATCGGGGACCTGTTTATTGTGTTCTCTATTTCGAGACTGTCTTTCGAAACGTCTTTCCTACACGGTTTCACAAAAAGCCCTGACCATATTTCGCCTGATGATAAAAATGGAGGACGTGTTCATTATTATGTCCATCAATAGTGTAACTCGAGTTTGAGGCTGTGTCCGAGATTGTGAGGTTTTGTGAGTACACGACTTTGCTACGCGCTTTACGCTTTTATAAATAGGTTCGATCACTTTTCACCCGATGAAAAAATCGAGGACGTGTTCTGTTGATTCTTTTTTTGTTGGAAAAGAGGGTACCTCGATATAGGTACCATTCAAATTTGAAAAAAATATTCCACCGCTAAGGGTGGCAAACTAGGGGATCAATCAGATTTCGCGCCCTTTCCTTTAACCGATTTCAATAAAACTTGGCAAATAGATGTAATTCTCCATAATAATATACTCCGTCCTACCATTTATTTAACTTTTGACAGCTCGAATTCTAATTATTTACAATTAGTGACATCCTAATGCGTTTCTGATCCGACTTTTTATAACAATCGATTTTATTTATGAAGAAATTTTAAGAGGTAGCATGCCAAAAAAGTTTTGACGACATTAATTATCTAATTTTTGTCCTAATAACCTGTAGCATTTCGAGGATGAATCGAAAAAATGTGAAAATTAGAGGTCACGTCGTGATTTTTATCTATCGAGGAAACTTTATTGTTTTATGTTTCTGATTAGTGTCTATGCTTGAATATATCGTGTAGTTACTCATACAATATTTTATTTTTAACTTTAAAGTGGATATACCCCTCTAAAATCAAATTAGGAATATTTCCTCTGCTCCCTCTTAAACGTGATGTTGCGTTTGACAATTTGTGTACTCAAGAATTAATTATTAATGTTAATGAGGATTCAAGGGATGATTCCCGTTCATATGGAGAAGAATCCGACGATTCATTATAATAAATAATAAGAGTTTATTATAATTATTTACAATTTATTTCATTTCATTATAATTTATTAGACAAGTACTAAAATGTATCAACTTGAGTAATCTACGTTACATAATCTGTTGACTTGATAAATATCTCACCACTAAAATTAAAAAAATAAAAGAGTCGAGAGATGTATTGCATTTTCTTGTCTATTGGTATTATGTCAATAATTACGGAACTTCGGAGGCATGCATATGTCAAGACTCAAATAAATAGATGGACGGACGGATAAGAAGCTAACTTTTGATGTCGGTTTCTTTTTTCTTCTTTTAAAATAAATTATGTGCACCGAGACATTCCTTTCGTTAAGGCTATGGTTACAACATTACTTTTGATAAGGACGGCAGTATGCAAGAGCGTGTTTCTGCAGCGTAACCATGGAGTTTTAAAAGTAGCTCGTCCGAATAAGATTTCATAGCGGTTCCAAACATAGACGATTGTTTATTTATGGAATGGACACCGCTCACATCAACGTTGGAACGCGGCCAAACGGCCCATTGCATTTTATTTGGACCTAAAATCAAGTGCAAAATTATGTCTGGATTGTATAATAATTTAAAAAAACCGCTCGATGCCTGCTCCCCGCTTGAGTCTATAAAGCTTGTAACATTTACAACATACATACAATAACAAATCACCAAGGCCAATGTCAAATCTTCCTACATTCAGGCACAACTTCGATGACCTGACACTGCTGGTCTATTGTATGTAGTACTGTTTAGCAGCAGTGGAGGTCCTTGTGAAAGAGTTCGTCCAGGGAAGTACTGCCACCTTGCCTATTTCTGCCGCCAAGCAGTAATATCAGCATTACCGTGTTCCGGTTTAGAAGGGTAAGGGCGCTGGTGAAATTACAGGCTCTTGTCAACGTATGTCTCAGGGTGACGGGCGCACTGGCAGTGTCTCTCAGATTTTTGTGATTTAAAGCTCGTGAGTGACACTGCAACTGCTATAGACAGGCGCGTAGCTTACCATCAGGCGCACGACTTGTTCGTCCCGTCACTAAAAAAATAAATTAAGAGAAAAAAATCCAACTTATTATGAAACATAATAAACCAACTTGATTGACCCCACGTACTGTCGATGACTAATGAGTTTTAAATTACACTACGATACAAAGTAATAAATAAAGGTCCTCACTTATATATACTACTGCGGGACCGCTCCGCACAGGAAAACTTTTTAAGATTTGAGAAGGTATTGTTTGATTGCATGCTACAAATTGTTTGTAACCCAGACAGGAACTAGAACTGCCTCGACCTCTCAAATGAGAAGGAACAGGACCCCAAATCTGCTAATTTTAAATCATTTCATTCATTCAT